TGCTTCTGGAGCAAAGAGAAGCGGACGTCCTCAGGCATAGGTAACAGACAGGCACCTTAATGACTACTAAAATGCTGGAGGAGGTTCCCCGCCTGAGGGTAAGATAAACAAGTTAGGAGGCTGGGCAGCCTTGATGACAGGAGCAGCCCAGACCGGGGAAAGGAAAGGTGGAGGGGAGGCCCAGCAATCCAGACACCTTACCCACTGCCTCACGGGAAAAACTGGATGCAGTAAGCACTAACTCAGCGGGGAGACATCTGTAATTCACAGGCTTGCAACCTAAACCCTAGGGGTCACAGATGTGAGCGGTAAAAGCCAATGAATGCAGAGCACCAGTAAAGAAGGGGTCTGATTGGAGAGCTTGGGCTTTCTGGGGAGTGCAGGGGGGCCCTAGGGGGCGAATATTCTGATTTTTCAAGAAAAGTTGGAAGGGTGGATTTTTGTGTGAAATTTGATTTTGAAAGCACTGGGCAGGCTAAACAAAACACCTTAAAAACAAAAACAATTTAAAAAAAAAAAAAAAACAGAAAGAGCAGCACAAGCAAGGAAAGGGCTGTCCTGGGGCACCAGATTGGGAGGGGCTGTTAAAATAAAGCACAAGCCCAGATTCCAAAGTTCTGTATTTTTTAAAATAAAGGTCACACATTGTTTAGAGACAATCTACACAAGAGTTACAAAAAATAGTTGCCCAGGCATAAGCATACACAGGTTTGTTAATTATACACATATGGTTACAGGTGTGCTTGCAAAAAAGTTCATTGGAAATATACACAAGGCTCTGGAAATGTACACCGTGTAGTGTTACAATTCTATATTCAAACAAGGAAAATTGACAGTATGTTACATTCACTTACAAGTAGACAAAATGCAAAATACAGTTCATCTTCTGTACAAAAAGGAAGGGCAATTCACACTTTACAAGGTGAGAGGGGCTCTGATTGTAAGGAAAGCGAGGGCGGGGCTGAACTTTTGCACATCCTTCTGACTGTCACAAAATAAGCAAAACATTACTTTTTTAGGATTTTTTTTTAAAAAGTGTGAACTGAATCATCCTGAATTACATTTAGAAAGGATCTTGCTACTGTATGACTAGATGACAAATAAAAACCAAGCTAATTTTTTTCTTTTTAAACATTAACTAGGCTGTATAAGAACATTTATTCCTTCAAAAGAAAAAAAATTTACTTCTGGTTGAAATTACAATTTACAATATACAACACTATATGCTACGACCATAAAAGGTGTGAATATACACTGAATGCACAGGGCTGGCTAATTTTCTTTTCTTACCAAAAAACGTGTTTATGTTGATTCAAACTTCTCCACATTTACATTACAGGTATACAAATGTACAATTGTACAATCAAAAGTATGTTCGACTACTAGGGTACATTATAGATACAGATTAGACATCAAAACAAGAAAATACTACAAATTTGTATATATGCAAAGTCTACACCAAGTATACACTATATATTTATAGAAGCAAGACCAAAAGCAGAGTTGGATTTTTTTTCTCATGCTGAATAATCAGATTTTGCCTTTCAATGTTGTAACAGGAAAAAATCCAGTAGGCAGTAAACAATCACACCCACCAAGCCTTCAAAGACATTCTGGGTGCTCACGTTTCCTCCTCAAAAGATAGACTACACTATCTTTGTTAGCATAATAGAGTCTCCAAAAAAAGCATTTTTAGAAGTTTCATAAACTTAATGTCATAAACTGGAGCTTTAGCAACTCTGAAACATCTTTCATTATATATATATATATATATATATATATTTTTTATAAACAGTGTTAAATGCCGGTTTGGGGTCATTTAACTAAGATTCAACCTTCTAGGTTTTTTTTTGTTTTTGTTTTTTACTAAAATGAGGAGGGGGAAGAGCTATTTGCAAAACTTGCCGGCAAGGCAAATGAGTTAAAAACCTTTTTTTTTTTTTTAAACTTTTTTTGTTAAACCAACCACCCTGAAAGTTTCCACACGTGGAATATAGATACAACAATGAATAAAATATGTGGCCTCCCATGTACATTGGTTACCTATGTACAAGTATCCTATACACCAGTAAAACAGCAGGGCAATTAGTCAATTAAAAAAAATAATTAGTACATGTTATGTCTAGTAAAATTAAACAAATTTACAAAGGCTTTTCCACTTGTGGATTTGATTCCTTTTTTTGGAGGGGGGTCATCCTGGAGCAATCATTACCCATTTTAGACTCGATACTAGAACATTTCTGGTTGCTGGTTGGATTCACCAGTGGGTCATTGAGGTCAGTGGGAATGGGGGCGTGGGGAACACCGCCTCAGATAATACCATTAGGGGGGCCACAGATGGGCCCTAAGTCAACGCCATTCTTCATGTAGTATTTCTCCAGCTTGGCCAGAATGTGCTTGCCATAGGTATACTTGCGAAGAGTTGCAATGTGAGGTCGGATCTGGGAAGGAAGGACAGTTCGTGTTACACTGGCCAGAAAACAGACGTGGCAGGCTCCCAGACCCAGCACACACACCTACCCACCTACCTGCACACACACCCTGCAGCACTACCTTCCACCACGTACAGCAAGTCAGCTGAACTCTGAGCTTTTGTGACCTATCAGATGAAGGGAGGAGCTCCTATCCTGAGAGCTGATGCAGGACGGGAGGGCTCAGGAGGCTGGACAGCCACGGACCACTTCCAGGACAGTCAGCACATCCTAACAAATCACACTGCCCACTGCACGGCACTTCCCTGGAGGCACCCACACATGTTCCTCTGAACCCATTCATGGGAGGACCCTAGGCTCTCCTGACCTGTGGCAATTTATTCCAGGGCACCATGAATCCTGAGCTCACACCTGATCCTGTATCTCCAGTTCACAGTGGAACACTGAGCTAACGACTACAATACAAAAGGCTAACGTTATGAGCCAGGCACTGTTCATTTACTCTCATAATTACCCTTACGAAGAAGGTGTAAATATTACCCCCATTTTACTGATGAGAAGACAAAGGCACAGCATACGTAAGTTACTCATCCAAGTCAAATGGCTAATAAGGGGTAGGCACAGGTATTTGAGCCCAAGCTGTCTGGCTGCTCTAGAAATTATTCTTATCCCCACTGGGCACTCACAGCTCTGACTACTGTGTCAGTCTCATATCTCACCCTCTCCAACTCTAGCTCTTGCTCACCTCTACAAGCCTTCTTTCATGCCACCCGGGGCCCAGCTGATCCACTCTGAGAAGTCCTGTGCATCCCTGATACCTCCAGGGGCACCTCCTCTCCTCTCTGGGAGCTCATGGAGCTTCTATATGTCTCAGTGACAGTACACAGCACTGTGTTTCGAATCATTTGCTCAACCATCAACGCTTCTGCGCAGACAGTGAAGGGCATGGGTTATTAACCTGTTTCCCCATACCGATTGGCACTTGTACACACAAATACAATGGACAAATGAACCAGAGAGCAGGTGGGTAGATGGATATTCTCCAGAGTGAGAGTGCCATCAGGGCAGCAATTTTTGTCTGTTTAACTGTGTCCCCAAAGCAAGGAAGGGTCAAGTAGATCTAGAAACCACTGACACATCCCACATAGGTCACAGTCTCATAACAGACAGTAGAGCCCACCTAAGAGCCTGTATGGGAAACTACTGACAAATCGTCCTTAGTTCTAATCCTGAGCTGTGTGACCCAGGCAACTTGCCTAACCTTCCTAAATGCATCTGTAAAAAAGATGGGTTTTCCTTTTGTTAACTCCCTCCTCTCCTCCCCATTTCACTTGGGTTGTAGTGAGGACTAATGTACCTGGAGAATGTTTTTGTCATTAGAACCTGAGGTTCAAAATGCCCATCTTTGCTTTTGGTAAATCTCCTTCTAAAAACTAGTGAAATTCAATTCATTCACCACTTTATAACCTAGGATTGGCTACTGATGACTCCAGACACTTAATCTTTATATCTTTCCTCTTCCAGACCAAAAAGAAAAAAAAAACCTAGTAAGTCATATAACACACACAAGTGGTTGCATAGGAGGTGAAAAATAATCACCCTGCTGTTCTTCCAATGTTCCCTCTCTCTGAAAAGGACACCACCTGGTGTTCAAAGAGATGAAAACTTACTTAAGAGGAATTCTTGGGACTCTTCCCACCCCGCCCACAACTCTCTCAATCAACCAAGTACTAAGCCCTATCTAGTTTAGTGGTAGATAGTACTTAGCAGTCAAACCAAAAAAAGAAAGAAAACAAACAAACCTGTTGCCATCAAGTAGATTCCGACTCATAGCAACCGTATAGGACAGGGTAGAACTGCCCCACTGAGATTCCAAGAAGTGGCTCATGGATTCAAACTGCCCATCTTTCGGTTAGCAGCCAAACTCTCAACCACTGTGCCACCAGGTCCCCGTACTTAGTAGTAGATAACAGTAAACAGATTCTAGCTCTCAATTCTTTTCACTTCTCTTTAATCCCAAAGCCATCACCATTTCTTGGCTTAACTATTTTAACAGCCTCCTCTCTACTCTCTTCACTATGTCTTCTCTTTTGTCACGACAGTCCTGCCCCACTGAACTTCCTTTAGTTCTTCAAATACACTGTCTTGCCGCCTGCTTCCAAGCCTTTACGCAGCATGTTCCCTCTGCCTGGAAAGGTTTGGGGTTTTAGTCAGATGGGAGCCTTGTTTGTATACCCACATTAGCAGAGGCCCCCTGCCACATTCTCCCATGGCCCCCCATACCTCCCCAGCATCACTGTAACTCTGTGCACAATACTGCCGTGTTTACCAATACAGTCCTGTTGGCAGTAAGGTCTAGTATAGTGTGTTTAATGAGTATCTGCTGGATGGATGGATGGACATGCTTTAAACTTCTGCACGTCTCCAGCATTCCTTCTGCCTCCACCAGACACTCAGATCCATGAGCCTCACAACTTTATGAACTTTGGACTCGACCAGCCTTCAACTGCCATCACCAACACCAATGCAGTGTTTATTTGTTTGTGTGAACTGCAGGTAGGTGCCTCGTCTGGCTCAGAACTTGAGTCCATAAAAGATTCTCATTACCGAACTTTGTTCTCAGTGAGGGCAAGTGGGTCATCACTGCCAGACAATGGCCACCTCTTCAAATAAGAAGGGCTGAGTGAGTTCAGAGCCCAAAGGCTGAGGGTTCAGACCAGAAGCACCCCAAGGCTTGTGGCACTGCCTGGCACAAACACAGCTGCAGCATACCCTGCCTGTAGGTTTGTTTTGCCTCCTTGGCCCTGCGGTCTGTGTGGGGCCAGTTGGATCTGCGCTGTGACTATTCCTGAAGCCGTGGGCCACTTCAGGTGCTTTCTGTGTCTGTTCCTGACTCACAGCACCTGGTAGTTCAGATTTCTGTTCCTTTGTTTCCTGCCTAGCTCCTCTTTAGCCTTGACTTCTCCCGAAAAACCTTCCCTCAAAGATTCTGGGCAGGGTTAGGGGCCCCACTCACATGCTCACCACTACTTTGCACTGGTCTTCCCACCAGACTGGGCTCTCTGTGGGTGGGGATCAAATCTCAGTCATCTCTGTGCCTGTGTCTGGCACAGGTGAGTGTGACAGCCAGTCACTGCACTAAGCAGGTACTTCTTCAGTAAATGTTGGTAGAATTAATGAACAAGGTGGGGGCGGGGGATAAACGAGTTGATCTATTGGATTGATAAGTTGGTCTCCCAGAGCATAGGACCAGAGAGGCAGAAATAAGCCTAAAGATCTATGAAACACCTGACAATAGCAGAGTCTGAGACTCTTTCCCACTAGCAGGTTACTGAAAGAGCAAGGGAACAATGGTTGTGCTGGATAAAAGAAAAAACGGACACAGCATGAGAAGGAGGCCAGTGATAAACACCTCAAGTAGAAGCAAAACGGCCATCCTCCTTTGTGTTTTAGAGATGTGAAGAACCCAAGGCCTTGCACCATTCTCTCTGATTGAGACCCTGCCCACCCTGGCCTACCTTATGCATGACAATTTTCCGCTGGGCTGGCTCTGCCACATCAATCATCTTCTGGACCACATAATTGGCATACTGGTCCTTCATCATGGTGTATAAGGCACTGTGGGGACCGTCGTTCATGGTGCACACCTCATCGATGAGCACAGCGCGCTCCGTACGTGAGGCATGAGTGACACACTTCTCCACAACATTGCTGTAATGACACAAATCCGGAGGCAACACTTCGGAGAGGGCCCCCTGTTAGGCTGTGGCTTGTCTAGCTTCTGTCCTAATGACAATATCAGCAGTGAGAGAGAACTAACATTTTTAGAGAATTAATTCATCAACTATTTGGCTCTATGAGACTCTCTACTTTTGCCATCTGTGGCTTTCATTCTGAATCATGGCTGAGACCAGGTCTTGGAGGATACCCGATCCAACCCTCTGATTTAAACAGGTGAGTGAAAGGAGCCCAGGTAAGTTAAGGGACTTACACAACCTTCAAAAATCTATCGATTCTTTCCTCACGTCTGTGAGCTTACTGAGATCAGGGACAAATATTGCTTATGTCTATATCCCTAGTGCCAAACACAGAACTTGGCACTTAATAAATGCTCTACAGACTTACTGAGTGAAGGAATATCCTTGCCAAACCCATAGCATTCATTTAACTACCTCATGTTGCCTCTTAAGAGTCTAAAAATAGGAAGATCTCTCGAGGTCTATCAGCATTTCACAACAGTTTCACATACAATGATGCGAAAAAACCTATTTTTCCCACCTTCCTTCCATAGTACTATGCTAACCGTCTAGAAGCCACTGGTTTCTCCCTTAGGAGAAGGAGGAGTTAAGATATTTCTAAGCTGGTTCAGAAAGCATGAAGACTGTCACCATCTCCAAATATTCAGGCAAAGAACCCTTCACTTTTGAGGACTTTTCAAGATGATTAATCAGAATAATTAGTCAGGATGATTACTAAAGCACTCCAAAGTGGTCAGGATTAGAACACCAGTGGGTGCTAAACCATGTTGGGGACAGGATATTCATTCTTATGAGTGAAGGACTCAATGCTCAGAACTAACCTGACTTTCAAGAAAGCAAACAGGTAGATTGGCTACCACTACCCAATTCCACTAGGCCAAAGGATTCCACCTTAATACACAACCAGTATAGTCTTTAAAGTTTATTTCTAGTGTTTTTGAAATGGCAGTTCCCAACTATCTGTGGGTAGAGAAACCAACTTAATCATCTGTGACCAGCTTTTTTTCTTTTTTTAATGGAACAGAAAATAGCAAACATCTAAGTGAATTATAGGCAATATTGTTTCAGTTATGTATGTGTGCATGTGCCTATAAATGCAGAGTCAATGTTGTAACATTTATTTTGTACTCTGGGTCACCATCAAAAATACCTGAAAAACACTAATTTACTGTATTGGTTTAGTTTTATTCAAGTTCTGGCTCTTCTGTCATCTCTAATCTGCTATTAAACCCGTACAGTGAATTTTACTCCCAATCTTGTATTTTTCAATTCTAGGATTTACATTTTGTAATTGCTACAGTTTCTAATTCTCTACTGACATTTCCTACCTTTTCATTCATTACAAGCATATTTTCCTTTATATCCTTGAGTAAAATTAAAATAGCTGTTTTATAATACTCTGCTAATTCCAATATCTGGTCATCTCGGAACTGGGCTTCACTGATTTTCTTTTTTCTTGCGTATAGGTCACATTTTCCTGTTACCTAGACATTGTGAATGATACATTGTAGAAACTCAAGAGTTCTGTTACGTTCCTCCAAAGAGTACTAATTTGTCCCCCTTTTTTTAGTGCAGTTAACTTGGTTGAACACAAATTATAAACATCTCTCACGCAGTAAGCAGCAGCTGAAATCTTAGTTCAACTCTTTTAGCCCTAGGTTGCTTCAAGCTTACCACGTGGGGTCACAGCCAGATATTTAAAGTTTAAATCTGGGGCTTCTCCTCTTAGCTGTCTTCCCTTCCAAGATTTCATCCCGTCACTTTCCCATTGCTGTAGCTGTCCCAAATTCTGTCCTCTGCTTCTACAACCCAGTTACACTGGAATTTTCCATTCCAGTTTTACCACCCAGCATGAAGCAGACTGGGGCCTACCCTCAGGATAAAAGCCATTAAAAATTAAAAATTCCCCCAGTGCAGTTCCCTTCTTCTAAATATCAACCTCCCTCCAGTATCCATCTGCTTCTGGTCACTCTCTAGTGCCTTCAGGTAGTTATTTTTTTATATTTTGTCTACAGTTTATGATTGTTATCTGTGAGAGGTTTCGTCCCACAGGAGCTACTCGGTCATTACGAGAACAACAAATCTACTGTAATATTAGTTAATACTTACACTGTACCCAAGGAAGAGAAATTAAATACAACTGGACAAGGGAGTAAACAGGAGAGTGAATCAGGGAAGAGACTCAAAAGATTCTGACCCCTACTTCCCTGGTCCTGGCAACTGTCCAAAAGAAGCAATTCTAGGCCTTAAGAGATGACCCTAGCAGAATTAGCTACTGAGACACTGAGTGCATAGATGCTTTCTTTCTCCATTTATAAGATTTCACAAATTAAAAATGAACAATTTGAGAATATCAAGTCTGTATGTGTCATACCTCCTTGCAATTTATTCTAAAAACCAGAGAAAGAAATATTCCAAAATTATAAAGTACTATGTTATATGTGGGCAGTAGGACATCCAAAATCTACTTAGAAGATCATCAACACCATAGTAGGGCCATGTGCACACCCGCCATCAGTTTCTTCTTTAACCTCTGCTGCTGATAAATTACTAAACCACCTTTCACAACCTGGGAATAACTAGTGCATTTCATTCTTGTCCTTGTACAATATGAAGACTTGAAAACAGATTCTAAGAATAAGTCCTGTACATAGATATGGTAAACTCTCTCTTAATTCAGGCACCGAAAAGTAAACTGAGAAAAGAACAATTCACCAAAACAAGTAAGTTAATGAAATATCCAATCCAGTTTACCAAAGTGCAAAATTTACACTCATTAGAAACATATTCCCCAGATTTCAAAGTTGCTGACTCTGGGGAAGTGGGGAGCCCACTAAGAGAATTCTATTGTTTCAAGCTCTGTAGTAACTATTTGATGTTTTAAACTATGTGTACTTTGAAAAAAGAAACATCATTCCTTCTCCCTATACCTGAAATACTACTTAATCCTCTCTACTGGAAAACAGAGTTTGTGTAATTCAAAGCTCGTACCTTGCAAATTTGTGCTGACTCAATACAAGTACATTGCCTCGGATTTCTGCTACAATTTTGCTTTTATCTTCAGGACGACCATGCTCCAATACATGCTGGATTACATAATTTCCATACTGATCCTGTTAGAGATGCAACAACAGAAATACAATTTATGTAAAACCAGTTCTGTGGATTACCTAAATCCTCCTGACACATAATCAACACCTGTCCTCCTTGTAGCACCATGACGGTTTCTGTGAATACTAATGAACATGTAAGAAATTAAAAAAATGAATAGGTAGCAACAATTTTTCCCTATCATTACAAAACAGGAACACATCATTAGTGAGCAGGGGAATACTTATACATATACAGTGAAGCCCAAAAGTCCTAGCTGGGCATTTCATCAAGTACTATATATAAAAAGTAGGCCTCCACTCAATTAAAAAAAAAAGGGGGGGGGGGAATAAAGAGCTATTCTTCTCTCAAACAGAAAAATACAAATGGTTCAGCATACCTCTCTACAACAGAGAAAAAACTAGAAACAACTTACTTGCCCAACAAAATACATACCTAGCTAAATAATATCACAAGCCTACAATGGATGTACTCATTATCTGAAGTGAAAGATACTTTATGAGAGAATAAGTGTGTGTGTGACTAAGAAAACAGGCAAAAATGATTGTAAGATGCAAAAATTTTTACTTTAAGAACAAAATGCCAATGTCAAATGTTTTTGCCTCTGGATGGTAGAATTATGGGTAATTTGTTCCTGCTTTCTACACTTTCACATTTTTCAAGTGAATATTTAATACATTTATATTTTACATCTCCCATCAAAACAAAAATAGCAACAACAAAAAATTGTTTCAGTACAATATATTACATGTAGGAAATGCTCAAATGGTTAGTATGATGTG